TAAGCAACATATTCATCCTCTATTGATGGAGTTGAAGGAATCAATTCTTAATAAATATAATGAGTCCTTCTCCCAAGAGATAATGAGATACTTAGGTACCGAGGTAAATTTTGTGTGCCAGATATAGATGGCTTAAGATAGCAAACTTTAGAAGGGGAACATGGTTCCCGATATTCCATTCATCCGGGTGCCACCAAAATGTATCGTGACCTATAAGATATCTATTGGTGGAATGGTTTGAAAAAGGATATACCAGATTTTGTGTCTGAATATCCTAATCATCAACAAGTCAAAGCCAAGCACAAAAAGTCGGGTGGTTTGTCTCAAAATATAGTCATCCCCACTTTGAAGATGTCAATATGGATTTCATTGAGGGTTTGCCTCATACGCAAAGGCAACATGGTTTGATTTGGGATATTTTTAATATGATGACCAAATTAGCCCATTTTATTCCCGTCAAGGCTACTTATTTGGCGGAAGATTATTCTAAGTTGTATCTTAATGAAATTCTGATAATGCATGAAGTTTCCTTGTCTATCATTTCAAACAGGGTACCCAATTTACTTTTCATTTTTGGAAAAAATTCCAAAGTGGACATGGTACCAAGGTGAAACTTAGTACCACATTTCATCCGCAAACAGATGGTTTGGCGTAACAGACCATTCGAATTGTAGAAGATATGTTGAGGGCACATGTTATTGACTTCAAGGATGATTGGGATGATCATCTACCGTTGATTAAATTTGCCTAATAATAATATCTATCACTTAAATATCTCCATGGCTCCATTTGAAGCTCTTTATGAGAGAAGATATTGATCTATGATTGGGTGGTTTAAGGTAGGAGAGTGTGCTGTAACAAGCTCGAATTAGTTTATGAGGCCATGGAGAAAGTCCGACTCATAAGAGATAGATTGAAGACAATCCAAAGTCAGAAAAAATATTTTGCCGACAATAGAAAGAGGGACCTTGAGTTTATGGTAGAAGACTTGGTCTATTTGAAGATATCACCCATGAAAGGGGTGATGAGGTTTGGTAAATAGGGGAAACTTAGCCCCCCCCCCCCCCGTGTATGGGGCCATATGAGATTTTAAAACCCAATGGAAGTATTGCCTATGAGTTGAAATCACCAATTGAATTAGCTCTGGTACATCCGGGAACTTGATAGATGATCAGATGTCTATCCTTCCTCTAGAAAGCTTAGGATTTTATGATAGCCTTTTCCATGAGGGTGTTCCCTTTGAGATCTTAGATTGTCAAGTTAAGAAATTGAGGAATAAAGAGGTTGCCTCCGTAAAAGCCCTATAGACAAAACCACCTAGTTTAGGATGCAACATGGGAGGACAAGGCCAACATAAAGTCCCAATATCCTCATCTTTTTCCTCTTACTCCTAGACAAAGTCGATGTTAGTAGTTTGACTTAAATAAGAGTTATGAAAATGTTGAACTTATCATGGTTTTCTAATATGTACATATTCATGTGGAAATTCATGCTTAAAATGTTTTATTAGTTTTCATGAGTTATGTTTCTCATGGTTTACTTGCACTTCTATGTATTGTGTTATATTGTCTTCATGAGTGTTTTAATGAGCATTCTTGATGTTGTCTTATTGAAAAATTGTCATGTTGGTTGCTTAACGTACATATTGATGCTCATTGAATATGGAAGGTAGTTCCTCCTATACATATGTGAAGTACTGAGTTTTTAGAATAATGATGTTGTGGATTTAGTTCCTATGTAATATGATGACATTATGTTGTATTGATGTTTTTTGTTGTTGAGATTCTAGTCTTGAGTCCTTGTCTTCCTAGAAAAAGGTCAAAGTGTCATTCGGAGACGAATGTTCCCCGGGGGGGGGGGTATTAAAACACCCAGAAATCCAATGACCTAAGCTAGAGCCTCATATTATAAAAAATGACTTAAAATTGGTAAAACAATGTTTCTATACCGAAAAAATGTGATTGACTTAGTTTGGAAGTGTTAGTACCTAAACGTCAAGAAATGACCATGACGTCTAGAAAATAGTAGAATTGAACTAGTAGGTGTTCTAGGGTCTTGTGAAGGTTTAAGAGTTTCATACGATGGATAAATAATGCAAAATACTTTAAATAAGTAAATCACTATGTTTAGCATCAAAAAGTACAGGTATGACCCCCCAAGGATAACCCTAGGGGTCCTTGAAGAGGACCCAAACTTTGGGGAAGAAAGCTGGAATTTGCAGCAGTCATTCACGAGGCCAATTGATAAGCCGTCAATGGGTTAATGGGGCATGGGTGTCTTCTTGATTTGAGACTTAATATCCTCACCAAATCCTTCCCCAAATCCACTCTTTGTACCAAACGACGACCATGCATGACAGACCGTCAATTGGTTGATGGGGCGTCAATGGTGGCCATCAATGTTACGTGGTGGTCGACCTTTAGTTTTTATGTTAGGGGTCCAAGTTCGAGTTTTTTTATTTAATTTGGGGTTAAGGGTGTTTGTTAGTGAGTTAACTAACTAACTAAACCTAACTGTAAGACCAAGCCCCATTACCCCAAGTCATTCTAACTCAAACACATTAAACCAAAACATAAATTCTCTCCAAACTATCTCAACTCAAGACTCTATTGAAGAGGAAGAAAAAACTTTCACTAGGGATTAAAAAACTGAACTTTATTCCATAATTTTTTTTAATATTGACAAGGTATGGTTGGCTTTAACTCTTGGGAATCCTTCCCCTAAGAGGTCCCCTCAAATTAAGCTTTCAAAAGTTTCCAAAAAGCTAGAGTTTTATTCTTACACATTGGTTTCTTTCTTAAACGAATTTTATGGATTAATTATGATATATAATGATTAGTTATCATTTATTATGTGTATAATGATAAGTAATTTTCATTCATTTGATATTCCTTTATACCCATGTTCTTCCCTAATTTCTTAAATCTTGGATTTGATATTGTGGATTGGTTTGAGATGATGAGTATACCAATTGTTTATGTTGATGATAGTTATGTTATTACTTCATGAATTACCCTATATCATGTGTTGATTATGAATTTTTGGGTTTATTGAGGTATCAAGTCCCATGAAGGGCAAAAAAGTATAAAGGTTGGTTCTCCATGGAACTTATGTATGAAAGGTGAATTGCTTAGAAAGTAAAGATGCTATGTCTATTGTGTTGTTGTGGTATTGATGACAAGGTTTTCTCATCCTATGGACTAAACACTTAAAATAGCTATGAAGTATGAATGCACGCTATGGTAAGATTGTTATATAATTGAAAGGTAGTTCTCATGGTTATAATGTAATGATAAAGTGAAAGGTTTACTCACTTACTAGTGTTTCTATATTGAAAGGATCATCCTCACTTATGGACACATTTGAGCAATTATGATTCGATGACGAAATGCGTGTCAAGTAAAGGCCAATGTGAACTTATGTAATGACTAAAGATGAATTCTAATGGGAATAAATGTGTAGCACCATGAGGACATGAAAATGAGACGGGAGATTTTAAGTTTAGCAAGTCCGACTCCCTACATCGGTTCCTTCTACATAAGTAAGTCCAAGTTCCCAAATATGTTTTGTCCGATCATATGGAAGCCTCCTACATTAGTAAGTCCAGGTTTCCTTGTCCCTTAACTATGTGTCAACATAGGTTGATGACTTGGTGGATCCAGTTAGATAGCTAGTATAAAAGGTTTTCACCTTATTAGGCAAGTGGAAACCCTCTCTTTTCGGTACGGTAGTAGAACACTGGATTTCATGTAGCTCACATGGTTAATGTTGGTTATTGCAATTTTCCCTTAAATGTAAAAAGTAAACGCATGAAAGAATGAACGAAAGGAGGTGAACTTCCACTAGGACTTACTTGAGGAGTTCTAACGCATGAAAGAATGAACGAAAGGAGGTGAACTTCCACTAGGACTTACTTGAGGAGTTCTACATAGTGGAAGGGAGGGTATGAGACTTCTCTTTCACATTGCACATGTAGGATTCTACGAGGTGGTTGTAGTAGGGTTCTCTTGTGATTATGATGATTATGGATTATTTACTACAAGCTATATATGAATATCATGAAAATGATTGGTTTCATCTTATGGTATGCTTATAATGATTATGATGGAAATATATATCAACGTACTAGATGGCTTATAATTGACACTTGGATTTTCATGGGGTTATGGGATCCTATCCATGGAATTGAACTAGTGTGGCTTAGATTGCTTATATGTTGAGTTACTATTATGTTGATTTAACTTATGTTACTTATATTGTATTCATATTGGTTTTTAATTGATAAAGAGCATGTTTACAACTAAAATGTCCTTTTGTGCAAATTTCAAATGTTTTATGCACATGGAACCATGCTTAGTACATGTGTTGTACTAACCCATATTGTTTACCTTTCCCCCCCCCCTCCTGTAGGTTCGTGTCGTTGAGGTGATTCTAGGAAATTTCTCAAGATACTTGGATTTACTTTCTCCAAGTTGGTGAGTCCTTAATTTTGAGGATGCTACACCTATGATTCTAGGTTTAGTTCTTTTTCCTATTGAGAGACTATGTTGTATTTACTATTCTAGACATTCTATTTTATGTAATGGCTAAGTCATAAACTTTGATATTCCTATGTCTAGATGGAATGTTGATACAAAGTTTATATTTTGATATATAGAAGAAGTTGACTTCTAAATTGTAAAAGTTATAATAATTCCACATTTTATATGCCTATATGCAACCATGAATGCTAAGGTCTTGGCTAAGAGACCTAGTGGGTGCTCTCAGGTCGTGACAATCAACTAAGTAAATTTCATGTTAAGTTATTGGAAAAATGAATTCACAATAAATATAAAACAAGATGAACTCGGTCCTTAAACTTTTATCAAAATTAGAACTCATTTATTTGGACCACATTTTTGAGATGCAATATTTTTAAGAGTGGCGAAGGGATCCGGCTGAGCAAAAAACAAACACACAAGCTATCTAGCACAATGCTTTTGATGGGAAGATATAGAGAATGAGGGAGAAAGTAAAGCTTTTGGATGCTTTATTTATTTATAGTGGGGTCGGTGTTAAATTTAACTGAGGGATCTATTATGTTTAGGGAAAAGAATTATGAGTACTTTCTATGATACATTAAGCACCATATGGTCATGTGAAATATTTTAAGGAAAAAACAAAGCAATTCTTATATATTAACGATCATTTGGATCATTTTATTGAAACTTTTAACATGTTCAACAACATGGTTCATGATAAAATAGCCATCCACTTGTGATTCCTCGAATGGAATGATGAATGAGTAACATTCTAAGATTTCACCCCCACAAAAGCAACTTGAAATATTGTAGAGCTTCAATACATCATGAATCCAATTAGGCTAAGTTCTTGATATAACAGCCACAAAAAAGCTTAATGTACTTGTATTAAAACATAGAAATTGTCATCGTTTACGTTCTTGTCTCCACTTGTAAATAGGTTTTGGTTGTTGTTTTAACAAGCTGTTCTTCATGAAGTTTGTGTTATCTTCCAGCTTTCTTGTTAACATAGAAGGAATGATGCTAAGATCACCATTTTACAATCTTTGGATACAAAAAAGATATCACCTTAAATATACCTGTAATTCTTTCTCCATTTCCATATCCATGTATATTTTCTGTAAAACAAATATAATAAATGATTTATGCAATTCCTATAACTAAAGTGGATCTCACACTTTTGGACATACCGTTGAACAGTGATGGACCCAAGATTTTTTTCAGGGGATTCAATATATAAATTAAAGAAGAAGTCCAAGTAGTAATACAAGTGTGTGGTGAGCGTAGTAGCCCCTCAGCATTCTCTTTCTACAAGAACCATAGATATTTCATTGGTTCATAAAAGTAAAGACTAAACTAATCAGTGATACTGGAGACAAAGATACATTGATAAGAATTTTAGCGGATCGAGTGTATTACATAATTTAATTCCTAAAACTAGTGAAAATTAAATGATGAAAAAAGGAGCAAGACGGGGAAAATGATTTTTACTTTATAATGATAAATTTAACTTACTTTATCATACCATATTAAACAATTCTTTGTAGTTTTGTCTTACTCCATCGAGCATTCTTAAAATTTCTTGTGTTTTCATACTTTTATTTTGTAATGTTTCTCTTTAGTTTTCACTTTTTAAATATTTTAAATTTGTATCCATTCAATCACATATTACTATGAAAATCATCAAAAATCTCTAAAAGTGTGTAAGTATAGAGTTACTAATATTATAAATTTATAATGAATATTCAGAAGATAAATAAATAGCGTCGTGAATTTTCTTAGTTCACACAGTTCAATTTACTAGGTTAGTCATAATCTGTAAAAAAAAAAGAAAAATAACCAACTAATCAAATAAGTTTAGTTTTCATCTCTCTAAAATATAATAACAAACAAAAAAGATATTTCATGAATTCTATAAATTAATATTTTTAACCTGATGTTAACGATTTTTAATCTTGTTCATTCAATTAAATCTAATTTACCTCTTTTTTAAAATGTAAATTATATTTCCATCTCAGTTTCAAGTTAAATATAATTCATCTTTTTTTAAAAGAGTTGTTCAAGTTAGTATATAAAAAAGAGTTACGTTGAAGCAACATGAATAATAGATATAAAATAGTAATCATAATAATAAAACAATGTAACTAATAAATTTAAACAGAAACAATTTGAAAACAAGAAATGGAACAAAAGGAAAAAATAAGGTAAAATTATAGAAATACACACCTTATGTTTCACATATTTCCATTATCCTCTTTTATTTTTAAAATCTCCAAAATTCCTTATTTCTCTCCTAAGTCTAAACTCCCGGATACATTAATTTCTACTCTAAAAATTAGAGTTTATCACTTACTTATTCCTCTCCTTAATCTTTTCCACGTAATCTAGACAATTAATTTCTCATCAGTTTTCAAAATCAAGTCTCTCTATGTCAAACATAGTATTGTTAATTTTTGTAGTTTCTCTTCTCTTGAAATCCTTTTTTTGATTTTATTGTTCATTTGTTTGTTTTTCTCTAACCATTGAATCTCATGGATAATGCACCACCAACTAACAGTAAATGGATTTATGACTACGAAGATATTGGTTGGGTAGAGAATAAAATCAAAAGACTCCACGATCCATTGCTAATGGCGAATGTAAAAGTTGGAAAGATCTGGTGCTTCTTCTTTTAAAATCCACGTTCCTAAAACCCACAAAAAGAGGGTCAAAAATTTTCTCCAGCAATTTCTCAACCTTCATTACCTTAGGTTAGGTTTTTGTTCTACTTATTTCGATTGTTATAATAATTTTTGTTTGTTAATCAATGGATGATACAAAAATGAACAAATTCAAATCTCATATTTGTGGGTATCGTGGTCACCATGAATACTAATCGTTTCAATCATGCTTTTTCTGATAATGATCTCGTTGCTAATATATTTTAATGTATCGTATTATGTGTAATCAATTGATACACTAACCCAAAGTAAGTCAAGTTATAATATCTTTTGTTTCTAGCAGTATAATATTAATAGTTATGCATATTTCAGTAGATCGTAGTCAATGATGTATCATCTAAGTTTTGTTTATCCGTCTGTGTATCTAATATTTATAGTTTCATAGTAAATGTTGTATAAGTTACATCTGATATACATTATTTTTTTCGATTGTTACATTGTTTTTATTTTAATTGTTATAATATTTTTTGTTAGTTAATCAATTGATGATACAAAAATAAATATTCAGATCTCGTATTTGTGTGTATCCTAGTCACCATGCATTACAATGTACTAATCATTTTAATCATCCTTTTTTTATAATGATCTTCATTGCTAATATATTTTAATGTATCATTATTATCTGTAATCTATTGATACAATAACTCTTAGTAAGTCAAGTTATAATATATTTTGTTTCAAGTATTATAGTGTTAGTAGTTATGCATCTTTCTGTAGACATCAATTAATAATGTATTATCCAAGTTTATTTATCCATCTTTGTATCTGGCATTTATAATTTCATAGTAAATTTTATATAAGTTACATATGAGATACATTAGTTTTTGCATAATATTTTGTTATTTTTTGTATCATTACAGTCTATGAAGTATGTTATCAAACAAATGTTAACCCACTATTTTAAGATTGGCCCAACAAACAATAATTTTGTAGAAGATTTGTAAAAGTACATAAATGTTGAGGCTTTTGAGTTATTTACAAATTCTCTTTTGGGCCATATCTCGACATTCATAACTAAAACTATAAAGAGACAAACATCAAAATGCATGTTACTTCTTGATATTGAGCAGGATAACAGTAATGAGCTCCATATGCGGCATGCAAATGAAAACGTTTTGCGCTTCACTATAAAGGAGTTTGTAATAATAACCGGATTTAAATGCACCAAATCTCAATGACTTTCAATATCCAAATTCCTCTAAGAGTAGGATCGTGTAAAGATACTTCCCCGATTTAGTAAAGTCTAATAGTGTGACCAAGGGTCGACTTGTTCAACATTTTCTTCAAGGTAATGGGACAGCAACTAAGGATGCTTTCCAAATGGGAATTCTATACTTGATCAACTCATTTACTTTCTCACAACTTCCTGATGCACCTATCAATGGTAATGAATTCGTGATGGTCGAATATGGTACAGATGAACATTTTCCTTGGGGACAACATGCATTTTTCAAGTTAATTTTTCTCATAGAGGAAAGAGAGAACCAAAGTAAAGCAGTTGAATGTTATAGGTGACATGACCTATACTCTAAATATGTGGGTGTATGAATGTGCATCAGTTATTAATGAGGAAACTACTATCAAGGAGGGAGATTATATACCAAGGATACTAAATTGGCGAATTGTTGGTGTCAAGCCTAAATTTGAAAATATGTTTAGTATTTTTACTAAGGTAATGATCATTTTTATTTCTTTCAAGTTGCAATTATTTTTGGCATGCTGAGTTTCAAAAGTTGTTTTAGAATGCATGTACAAATATACAACATACTCGTGAAGAATTGATTTTACTTTATTTTCCGGACAATCTGGTTGTTCTCATTTTGAACATTCTATGTCTGCTGATAAATCTAAACAAGCTATATTAGATGACATTCCTGGGTTTGGGAACTAATCCTCTAAACCATCGGATCAGATTGTAAGGAGTAGTAGACATGTATCTGCTATATCACATACAACCCCCCTCCCCTCTACCCTCCGAAAGAGAAGAAAGAAAGCGGTTTTGACCAAAGAAAAAAGCATTGCAATGGAACAATCAGAGTAGTCCCTCGTGATATGAGTCATCTATTCCAGATTCAGCAGGTCTTTCATCTGATCCTAAGGAAAAGAAAGATCTTTCAGAAATTGAAGGATTCAAGCAATATGTGAAGGAATATGTAAGTGATTCTCATAATCATTATTGAATGTTCTCAATTATTCACCGTAAATCATTATTAACTCGCTTACGTATTTTTAAAGGTTGAAAAAAGTTTGAATGAACTTAAAGTTTTAATAAAAAAAATAATCACAAAGTTCTGATACGAGCAATTCGAAAGCTAAATATTTACTAAATATTTAGTATTCGCAAAGATATTATTCTAATTATGTTGTACTTTGGCTTGAAGAAAATTGTTTTCATATTGATGTCAATCTCAGATGAAGAGGTAGTCGAAGAAGACAACGTGATTCAACCCCAAACTAATAATCAATTTGTTGAACCAGGGGCTCCAATTGATATGGAGTTTGTCAACAACATCCTCATTGACAACCCTAATGTAGAGGCTGAAGAACAAACACACATACAAGAACATGAGGTCGTAGATGTAAGAATCAGATATATTCATCAAATTATCGAATATTCATTAAAGTATCTACCTCATGTTGATACATTATTGTAATGATATAATTAGAGACAGAAATTTTTGATACATTTATAAGTGTACTAGCTACATTATGTTTAAAATTCAAATGTAAGATTAGCTTCAATTGTTGAACAATTATTATTTGGTTGATATTCTAATCAACATAGGATGATGATACATTAAAGGAGAAAATATCAATGAGGATGTATTAGAACCACCATTTACGGTACATGTACTAAGAAAGTTTTTGTAAGTATAAGTTTATGTTTATGACATAGTTTAAACATTAAATGTATCATTCATTAATGATATAGTAAAAGTTACTACTTTGATACATTATTATTTGAATTATTTACTATTTTTCATAGTTTATTGATACATTAAAAGACCCACAAATTGGTGAGAATGAATCCAATGAAGATGTAAGTACACGTTTATGTAAAAATATATTAGTTTATTTACTTAATGTATCAGATTATTTAGTATCTATTCCAATTTTGATACTTTAGTTTTTTACTCAAGTAATAGTGTTCATATTTTGTTGATACATTTAAGGATAAAAGAGCTAGCGAGAATATATCCAAGGTAGTTAAGTAAGTATAAGTCTATGTATAAATCTTTTTATCATTTATTAAACTGATGTAACAAAAATTTTGTTATAACTGATTAGGTTGATGTAGTAGAGTTTTCACCAAATGAACTGACCAACCAAATGTGGTTCAAGATGTTGTTGATAGATCACAACATAACATTCCACTCCCAAAACAAGTTTTAGTAAACATTGATACATATGTAAATATTCAGTAGAGAACTTATTCACATATAAATCTTAGCTTAGTCACCATTTTATAAAAAAAATTC